GTAGGACTTTTCAATGAGATCGGACGTAGAGGTGTGAAAGGGGATTAGTTCAAATTTGGAACATTTTGTCGTAAAGTCCAAAGGAGTAAGAACTAGGAGATGTCATGGATCCAGAGGAGAACCTCAGTGATGTCCCAAGCTATCCTTAGGTTTGGCTTTAATTTTGAGGAGAAATTATTAAAGTCTTTCATCCTGCTAATTTTATTTGTTGGGGCTTACATTAATGTGAAACAACCACACAAATAGCCTGAAAGATATGAGGATTTAGGTCGTAACAAACGACAATCTCAGAATCCTAAGATGAGTTTAGGGTTAGATTGTACAACAGAGCTATACAAAAGCCTAAAGATAAGGTGAGGATTTATGTTGCATAAGCAAACAACCTCAAAATCCTATGGCTTATTGTTTAATTCTAAGAAAGGAAATTGATTTAGCTAGGGAAGACATGTTTTCCTGTTGAAGATGGTCGTGCTGCCCACCATGCTAGCTCCAAGCTCCTTGCCATGACAATTTTAAGTTTTCTAGTGTGTCAAATTGAGATGCCAAATCAAATGGCCTTATAGTTAAAGTTCTTTAAATGTTATGGGGCATGTTGAAGTTAATTAGAGCGACACTGATTAGGATCTTACGGTTCCCTCGTTCCGGCACCACTATTACTATCAGATTCACTTAGTCCAAATGAATTTACTAAACTTAACTTAATGAGTTCCATATATTCATTTAGACTCTGGGAAGTCTCGTTAGTAACCGTAGGTTACCTCATCCGAGGGATTCCCGGTCATCCGATAGAGACGTCTTAATTTAGTTGTAATTGTTATTTTGTCATGTTTGTGATTAAATTATGAGTTGTCGTGGGTGACATCGTTGTTTAGCATGAAAATTATACAGGTATAGAAGTACAGTATGAAAGTACAAGAAAGACAATGCTGAAAACTGTAAAAGCGTACCTGGCGAATCTTCTCGTTTTTATAGAGACAAAGGGTAAGGTTTTGGTAGTTTTCCTAACTCTATGTCACATCTTAGTGGGTCCTTAAGAGTTTAGTTAAGGAGTATTTTGTTAAGCAAAATATATTAAGTTTAGTAGATCTCCGAGGTATCCAACATATCTAGAGAAAGAAGCAGGTTCGTGCTTCGTGTTACTCTCTCACTGCCTGGTGGAAAATCTCGAGTTCTTTTAAACTTATTATGTTGCTTAATAATGCATCCTATAAACACCCTAATGCTCAATGAACATTGATGCCTTAATTATCTCTAAGAGTAAGTTAACTATCATTTGTAATTTAATTTTGAAGATTATGTGGGTGATGATCCTTAAAGCGGCAAGTTAGTGTTGTTGGAAAACTTAGCCAAATTTTGTTCCTAATTGGGCTTGTGGTGTTTGAAAGATGTTTTAATTTTAATTGTGTTTGTTTTTCTAATTCTCATTTAATCAGTCTTGATTTAACTTAGATAGCCCTAAAAACCTAGGTGAGTGTCTTAATTAGCTTTAAAAAGGTTAAGCTTTAGGTGGTCATGATTCGTGATCAGAATTTTATTTGAAAAATTAAAATAGTGGTATTAAATTGATTAATTATTGACTTCAAAAGTCATACCCTTAAGTCCTAGGTTTATTTTATTTTAGTAAACATCTAGAAAGTAAGATTGGTTTCTACCAATTAATTCCTTGTGTTTCAAACATCAAATAATTGATTAAGATCGGAGGTTTCCCATTTCCTTTCTTAAATTAAGCCTAAATGTTAATTAAGGCTAATTTCCAAAATTACACATTTGCCCCTAAGGCTCTATCACTTGATAATTTGTCAAATTCAATTCAACTGACTTTGGAATTTTTATCCTACCTTATTCATGAGTCAATTAAGACATCAGAGGAGAAAATGTGATTTTTCAAAATTTATTTTAATTTATATAATTATTTTCATGCAAA